CGACAATGAGTAATAATAATAGTTTTACTACTACTACTACTACTACTGCTACTGCTACTACTACTACTACTACTACTACTACTACTACTACACATGACGCATGGACTCCTTCTAGGTATCTAGCTAGATTTTGAATTAGTTTCGTCCAAGTCCACCCTTACGGAAGACATCGACAACCGCCTTTGTTCCGGAGCTTGGATTGGAGCCCGATAACAGAGGCCCTCGTCGGACCACGGACGACAAGTTTGAGAGTCTCAGGGCTCTTATTGCGGCTAAAACTGACATGAAGCTGTTAAACGGTAAACGCATCAGACGAAAGACTGGGGGCAGTGCAAAGCCCCTGACTACTGCAGGTTAAAGCCATCAAGCAGAAGTAGACCGATCGATACCCCTGGCCGATGCCGACTGAAAACCCCACCGAAGCCTGAAGCAGATACGAAACTCATTGATTTATATACACGACTATACAGTTTCCACTCGGTTGCCAATCCTGCTTGTTTTTTTTTGCATTGGGTGGAAGAAGTATCTGAATTAAATGATTTTTACCATCCGGAGAGCTGGGACCAGAAGTCCTTCGGTCACAGCATCATATTAAAGTACAGATGACACATAGCAACAGATTCAATCGTCTGAGTTTCTGGAAGGTATACAGATAGCAGAGACTGTAACACTACGGCCGGCACGAGTCGTTCAGGATGATTATTTGATAAATAGATAGCCCAGTTAAGTTATATTGCCAGCCAGCCACGCACATGCCAATGCCCAGCTGTGAGAGGACAACTAACTACCAATAAGTAAATTTCTCCGAGAAGCAGTCACGGCGTGCATCGTATTCTTGCACTTCGACTGCAGGCTTGCTCTCTTTTGCCGCTCTTGTCGCAGCTGGCCATCTGAAGCTCCACTTTCTTGGGCGGCGACTTTGGTCAGGCTTCCCAGCACAACCTCGTCGTTCAGGTATCCTGAGCTCAGTTCTGAAGCCTTCCTGGACCTTAAAAGTGACTAACTTATTTTCGGCTTCCTCATGCCTGCTGATTAAACAAAAACTTGCAGGACGGAGCCAAGTATCCCATGGATATGCCATGGAACAACATCACGAGGTACTGGAGATGCAGATCAGCAGGATTGGCAAGCCGCTTCATGATCGCATCTTGCCAAGTGAACCAGCGGCTCGGCTGGACCGACTCGCCCCTGCGATGCAGAAAGTTGCTGCTGCCATCCCGCATGTCCTGAATGAACTGGTCGACTGCGACTCCAGCGCCAAAGCGACTCATGCGACGGACTGTCGCAGCAATGAGCGGATCGCCTTTATCCGCCGTTGCGACGAACTCAGTCCAAGCTTCTGTCACTTCCGACCACCACTTCCTTACGATTGCAGACTGCCACTGCCCTCCGCTCTCTATCGTACTACTTTATTTAGGCTCTCTCACTTTACAAGATTGTCAGTTTTCTGTCACTACCGGGTGACTCGAGGCTAGTTACTTGGGTCAATGAATGCCATAGATTCAGATATGTTTGTGCTAAGTCTGCTAAGTCTTATAAGACGGATAAGAATTCAGAATTGAAGTCAACCGCCCGCAATAGTGTGACATATCCCTGAACTGTGAGACCGTAATTCGCCTAGCTCATCATGAGACTGGCTTATTTTAACGAAAGACAGTCTGAAATACGGACCGAGAAGCTGACTGCTCCACGGCCCCTCGTGGAGATTGAGCCAAATCGTGGTGAGGCTGACTGCGCTGTAGAGTTGCGACTCTCGAATGCCCCCCAATAGCGACTTCCACATCGAGTGAAGCGGATCTTCTAACGACCTGCATCGACTATTGACTAGTACTGTAACATAGCTTTGGGGCGGTCTTGGGTGAGGCTGCATGAAGAAAAACGGTTGCCAGAGAGCAGATCTAGCCGCCACTTCCTCAAACGAAGATGATGAAGCTCGAAAGAGTCCGTCGAGACAGGAATTGGCCCTTGATCGCTGCACTCGACTAGTGTGTGTCGTTCCCAAAGCGGCACGTTCTTGTCCTCATTGGCTGCATGCACTATTGCCAGTCTAGCTAGTCTTCTTTTTCTAATAATAATTAACCCTAGCCGCCTTGGGCTGGCTCTACTTTGGGAGGTTCCGTTTCTTGCGGTTTCTGCGATAATAATAATAAGGATAATCGAAATCCTGTTGAGATTTCGCCGAGGCTCTGTATCCTTCGGAACATATGCATCCAGGCCATTGCCGGTCACGCAGGCCAAAGCATTGTTCTTCGCGAGCAAGAGGTCGAAGGAAGGCAACCGGGCCGGAGGGCGGAGCCGCTTGCGGACGACTGCGGTGTCCTGCTCCAGTTCGTGCTGTCGGCCAGCCTCTCGCTTCAGGAATTGACGAGCTCGCTCCTTCCAGATATCTTTGTCGACTTGTTCGACTGGCTCCCCAGGTTGCGCCAAGCGGATCTTCATGTCCCTGACTTCCTGCACGCTTAAATTTACACACCCCGCACGTTTAAGAGTTCTTATTCCCTACTTAGTTCCTTTCTGCTAGTTTTTGCAAGTCTCATGGACTCTTTGCCTTCGCTTTGCTTGAGATTTTTCCTGTATGTTGCTGTCGCAACACACAACCGACAGTCCAAATATTGATACTTGCGGTTAGTACGCCATCATGTAGAACCCTGGCCCGTGGACACAAACAATGGCACTATGACGGATTGCTAACAAGTACATACATCCTTCTTCGTTTGTGGGGACCAGAACTGCCCTGGCCCTTGCTGGAAAAAGCAAACCTTTTCTGTAGTCTAATATGTAGCTGCCGGAATTCTTGCAAGTTGTTCATAGACAGACAGACAGGCCTTCATTCATGTAATCACAAAAGCTCGTGGCTTTCTTGTTTGTTTTGGGGCCTCGAAATCAATCTTCCTGAACCCTGCTACTTACTCCGTCTGTCGGCTGAATATTGATTAGGCTCTATTCAGCGATTGGCTTGGAATTATACTGAACGCCGCATGGAATGGAATGCCCAGTCCGGCCTGTGGCGGTGCCCAGCAGGCGACTCCCTGCTCGTTCATCGCACAGAGCATGAGCCGCTCCTTCCCGCCCACACGCGACTCGTCATCAGCGATGGCCAAGACCTTGGTGTCTGCCATCGCCCTCCGGCAGCCGTAGAAGTACCTCACCAGGTCCTTCTTGTCGTCCATCGCCCGCGGGTTCGACTTGGCCTCGCC